AAAGTTATAATACCATTTCATGCTCATGAAAGGTATAAAAATCAAAACACACGAAAGAATCGATATAGCCACGAAACTGTGGGCCAAATATAGGTCTTTGAAATTTTAAAGATATGACTAATTCAAAAAATTATTTCAAAAATTCAGTGCTATGTGGTATAATAGTATGGGTACCAAATAAGAGAGAAAATTCTGCAGAATTTAAAAACAATAATTTTGCTTTACAAGGTCGAATAGGTACTGGAAATGCGCTTTTAATAAATTTAAGGTTTTAAGGTTAAGCTAAGCGTTCACTGGAGAGAATTTCGCTGCCTACTTTTACTTTTGGTTTAGAAGCATCTTTATAGAGAGCCGTCGACCCTGGGTCTAGGTCTGTGACCCCTTCCCGTTTGTTCCTCTCTGTTGCAGAATTTACAGGAATTTTGCGTGTCCGCTTCTGAGGCCTCTCCATGGATGGCCTTCGATATCCACCATTCGAATATTTAAAATTAATTCTAGTACTCTAGTGGCAAGCATGAAATCCGTGCGCGGTCAGAGTCTGGCTTACCGCCAGCAGCCAAGCGGGTACTCCATAGAAGGGAATGCATCTACCACAGCTGTGTACATCCAGTGTACTAAATATAAATACTTATGTGGTTTCATTCCACGTTTTTTGCATATAGTCGTCCAACAGGCGTACAGGATAGTTTGAATAGAAAATTTTTTTATTTTCTCGTGAAGAGTGCCATCTCTGTCTTGGCAGGGTGACCCTGAGCCCATATTTCTTAGATCAGATATTTACAAGGCCGAGCGCATCTTGCAAAAACTACTGGTTGTTTTACTAAGATTTTTGTCTTGATAGGTATTCCAACTTACTCTGGGGAATAAGACAAGTATTTTTTGGATTTAATTAAGAAAGAAAAGAATTCAAGTACAGCATAACAAATTCAGAAAAAATCCCAAAAAGTCCGGATCAAATCTTGAAGAGCTCCCGAAAAATTACAACACACAATTCTGACAACTCACATTCAATTAAAAAATGTCTTTCGTAAAAGCGTTGCCAATTCTGGCAACTAACTTGAAAGCTCTTCTCTGCCTTTCGACACACTAATTGAAAGATTTCCTAACGAGGAGGTCTAAGTTTTATTCTGTTTATCTTTTTAACCGACTTCAAGAACGGCGGAGGTTATTATTTTTCGCTTTTTTTTTTTTAAATATATGTATGTGTGTTTCGATAATTCGGAAAGGTGGTTCCTCAAAGGTGTGTACAATACTAATTTTGTTTAGATCCGATCTTTGGATCATGAAGAAAATAACGGTACTCCGAAATTTTTATGTATGAGAATTGAAGTAGGTTGTTTTTTGTTTAAAAATTACTTGTAGCAATCAGTTTTTCAAAAATTAAATTAATAAAACAAATATATACATTAAATATCTTTTTAAAACAATAAAAAGTAATGGGCTTATTTCTAAAAAATAAAATAAGTTTAAAGAGGTTTACAAACTGACATTTTCATAAAAATTTTCGAGTTATTAAGCAGTCTTCTTTATTTGTTATCAATTTGGGTGAAAGAATTAAAAGAAAATTAAATTAAAAAAAAAGAATTATTAAATTAAAAAAGGAGCAGAAAAGAAATAGTAAATAAAATAGGTTTCACAAAATTAAATGAAATTAAAAAATATGTTTCTTTTTAAAACAATAAAATTTACAAATAAAATAAAAAAAATACAATATAATAAAAACATAAAAACAAAATAAGTACCAAAATATTTAAGTAAATTAAGAAAATTATTTTCAATATAATAAAGAAAAAATTCATTAAAAAGAACAAAAATGTGTAAAAATTAAATTTAATTAAAAAACAATTTTTATTTTTAAAACAATAAAATCTAAAAATTTCTAAAAATTAAGAAAATTAAATTAAAAAAAGAAAAATAAAAAATAAAAAAAAATGAGCAGAATGGCACGGCAGTGTAAAAAAATTCTTCAGCTATCTTGCCTACTATCTTTCAAATTTCTTCAAAAAGACTAGCAACTTGCAAGATGGTCAGAATTGCCCGGTTGGAGTAGAATTTTATCACAAATATTTTTGTGGTACATTTTAACCTGTTTTTTTCCCTGTTTATGAGTATTTTTTCCTCTGTTTCGCAAAATAAAAAGGCTCATCTTAAGATAGAAGGTTATACGGATTTACCAAAGGAATTTACAAAAGAGTGACAACTTTGACCCTCTGTAGTATAAAACTCAGACAAAAACTCTCAAACCACCGTTATGCGTATACTTTTCCTTTGAATATTTTTGTTTCGGAAAAACAAAGATTTTGTTATACAGTGTAATAAGTTGCTTTCTAGGTAAGGAGGGAAAAGTTTTTTCTCGGCTTCGACTTCTTTATACACTTACCATATTGACTTCAGAAATGGCATCAAAGCTCGCAATGGTAAGATCCATACCCACATGCAATGGCTCGCCTGCAATTTCATTAATAGTTTATAGATTGATGAATAAATTTTAGAGTACATATTTATTTTTTGAAGAAGTTTACCTCCAAAATTCGGACGCAGTCGTATATCATAACCTTGCAGGATTTTTGAGATAGTTTGTGTGACATTCTCCAGGCGACCAGCAGCCATTTCTTTTCGCTTGCATCTGCAATGGAAATGTGCAAAATAACTTTTTTTTTTTTAAGAGTATGTATGTATAAGAGCGTAGTTGAATGGGAGTGTAACTAAATACGAGTATGCTGGGGTGCATAGCGAGTAGGATTAGAGGAAGGCGATTTTGTTGAATTAAGCAGGCAGCAGAATTATGAATTTGTAAAACATTCTTGGCTTGACACTTGACTGCTCAACAGTCTGATAACTTAGTTATTCAGTGCGGCGACTAAGCGCATTACATAAGTCAAGGTTACCAACGACTGTATAGGGCGATTAGTAAACTAGTACACTATCACACATCGAACAACTTTGCCAGCTTAGATTGTCCTGAGTTTGTGAATGTGTAAATTGTCAATAAAGTTGGGCGTTCAAAAGTTTCCAAGTGCATTCAGCGAATGTGTGGTGTTCTGTTGATGTGGCACTTACCTCGCGCTGGGAATGTGCACCAATGTGAGTATGACTAAAAGTAGCAGCGTGCAATAGCCCGTTCGCCGAGTGCTTATCACACCACTCCCACTCAGGCTAGTTCTTCTGCTGCTGCTGCAGCTGCACTCTTGCGATTTTCTTCTGCCTCTACTACTGTTGCTTCCATTCGTTTTACACATTATCGTGTTTTTGTTGTTGTACTTCGTTGTGTGATTGCTGAGTTGGCGGTCATACGTGATATCCCGATGTTGGTCGTGGTAGTGATGAGCGATATTTAGTTGTGTGGTGAGTGTGTGTGTGTTTTTTTTTGCCTATATTGCGTATGTCATGCGAATAGTCCGTTGAAGTTGTGTTCTTGCATTTTTTGCTTTCGAAAGTTGAACTTCGCACTGGTTTTGATTTTCTTGTTAATTATTTCGTTGCTGCTTCAGTGTTGAGCCTGGGGAATAAGAGCAGAATATTTAATTTTTTTTTGGGTGCAATAAGTTTTTAAGTGGATAAAAATTTATTTATACGAAAGATGAACGATTTCTACCAAAAAATTTCGTATTTTCGTTGCCCCTTTCCTTTCTCTTTTCGGGTTCGATTCTACCGTAAAGGCGAACGGTAGGAAATTTGCACCATGGAAGGTCAACATTTTTTTGGAATAAAAGAAATCACCATAAATCATAACACCAAAATTTAAACCATAACATTTAAATTAATATTGAGGAGAAAATTTGCTGTTAAAATATTTATGAAAACAACATTTTGGCAGATTAGGTTAATAATTTTATTTCAGTAAAACTGTGGTCGATTTTTTAAACTATGTGGTAGTTGTGGTAGAAGCAAAAAATTACCCAAATGTAGTAGATCAAGCACAATTGTGGTAAAGTGGCAACACTGCATACCAGCATGAAATATTTTTGGATTTTAAACAATGTATAGAGACTGTTGGTGTCGCGGGTAGAAGTAGCGATTTTCAGACTCGCAATACATAGCCAGTAGTGGATTTTAAATTTAAAATGCAAAAAAATCGAAAAATGAAAACGAATTAAATACATACTGCACTAGGTCTCCCATTTAATTATGTAAACAGCATTGTGAGGAAATGTGAGGTAATTTAGTTGTTCCTATAGTTGTGATCCTTCCACAATTATTTTTTTTTATTGACAATATCTTTTTAATTTAAAAGTCTGTGACAAAATGTTCATGTAGAAAAACATGACGTAATTAAGATCGGAATCAAAAAACATACATCATTCTTTTTTTTTTTTAAGTAATTTTTTTGATGTCCCTTAGTCCGTTACCGGCTAAATTGTAGCCCACTGTGCGCCTGCTTGTAGTTTACCTACTAGTGACCAGACGCTACTAATGTCAGTAAGACCTTATACCGCATAGGTTGAACTGGCCTCACAAAACCTCAATAATTTTTTTCCATGACCCGAAGATCAACACGAACGAGTATTCAAGAGTCGGAATTCAATATACTCGTACAGCTGTAACTGAAAATATAGGTGCCCTACTATACGCCATTGCATAGATCGACTAGTTCATTTATTGGTATAATAATTATGAGTTGGTTATGGATAGCAACGCAACCTCATTTGGGTTGCCGAAGTACGAAGCCACTGAGAGCGTTATATGTATTATGAATGGCAGCTATAGTTAAGTGCTATACAGTTGAAGATAATCGAATTTTGAGGTACCAGCAGCCAAGATTTCAGTGTAAATAGCCGTAGAAACAGTTGAAAATAAATTTTTCTCAATCAAAATTTTCGCGGCAACAACATTCATGCAGTTGCTAATCATCCTTTTTCACTAAAGAAATATTATTTTCTCATGCTAACTGAATAGTATGACAATTTCTTCGATGCCAAGCAAGCTACCAATTTTTTCACAACAATTTTTTTTCCCGCTTAAAAATTGTTCTAAAAATTGGAAATAATGCAACGCCATTCAAAAAAATATTAAAAAGGACAAACTGCTGAACCACCCAAGTGCTTTTCCATTTACAAATAGCAAATATGAAATATAAATTGCCTGCCAGACTCTGCATTGCTGCCTGCCTTTCGCCATATCGAAATTCGGCAATACCTAGGTACATTGCGGAAGTTAAATATAGGCTACTAATATATACACGGCAGCTGCTCCTGAGTGGTCAGAAGTGCGTACCACCATTACGCAGGACCTGGGTTTAATGTCTGGTCTGAGCAACAGCTAAATTAAAAAACAATTGGAAGCTTGGCCAAACGCTTAGCAAAAGTGTAAGCGACAAAATATTATTATTATTATCCCTAATCTATATTTGCATTTTCTCCCAAATCCAATGGAATTTCCTTTACGAGAAATAACACTTTCACATAACTTTTTAAACGAAAAAAAAATACAATAATTGCAACGTTTTATTGAAATTGCCTGCTCATCATTATGCACCTTGTCGGCCAATGCTAAGCACAATGCCAACAATACTCATACGCCATGGTGCTACGCCTTCGCCACAAAACGATCTTAGTTCACGTTTTCTTTTTCTCTCTCTGCTATCCATTTTTGGTTTCGAAACTGCATTCTACATCATCTTTCTATTATTTTGTTGTGCATTTAGTATTGTATGAGTACCTTTCATCGTTATGCATATTATTTCCATAGGTTTTTTTTTTGTCGCTGCTGAACAAAAGTTTATTCAACTTGTTCACTTAATGCACACTCATGCTGCATAAAAGACACTATAGAAAACGGTAACGGTTACAAAACGCAATAATAACAAGTAGGACACATAATAGTAAAAGAAGAAGGTTGTGAGAGAGAGGCGGTGGCGCAAGAGTGGAGAACAAGAGAGTGAGAGGGGTAGAAAGTGAAGTGGCAAGTGAAGGCGACGCATTGTGCCACTTACAAATGCACTTGTATTTTGTTTTGTTGTTGTCGTTGTCGCTGTTTTTTTGTTTCTTTTTTTTTTGTTGCTGGCTTTCCACAATTTCAATTAGGAAGAACCTTCAGTAAAGTGCATAATTGCGTTAAATACTAACACCCCGCATTCCGCAGCTGCCACCAGCCGCCCCACCAACATACATACATATATACGTAACGCAGTCGTGGCGATTTTTGCTACATTTTTGTAATATTTTTTGTTGCAAGTTTGTCATCTTCAAGTTTGTAACCGTGATACATAGTACTCGTACATACGCGCGCACACTCATACAATTTTAGTTCTTCCAATTGTTGGCGTGATTTTTTTTGTTGCTGCTTGCCAGCTGCTGTCAAGTGCACAAGCGTGCGCTTACGCAACTACAAGTGGCTAAATACGAGCTGTGCTGGCTGTCGTTTGCAGGCTTTCGAGCTTGTCGCGCTAGTCGTTGTTGGGTGAAAACAAAAGACGCACGCTTCCGGTGTGCGTGTTATTATCACGGCGTCGATAATTATTGCCGCTAGCTGTTGGCGTGTTTTGTTCCTTTCTCCTTTTTCTACTTTGATCTTTACACCATTGTGCAAAGCGATAAATGTTTTTAAATGTAAAAAAAAATGATAGTAGTTGGTGTTTTGTTTTCTAAGTTTAGTGTAGTTTGGTCGGTTTTGTTGTTGTGTGTAGTTGTATGAATTTTTCCTAATCGCATTTAATTCCTTGCTTATCTTTGTCTCTGTGGAATTGGTAAACTGCCAAATTGAGGGATTAGGCAACTTTAGGCAGCGATGTGCTTTAGGATTATGTACACAGAGCAAAACTAAAGTTGTGATACTTTTAAAAAGAAGAATATGAACCCACTCGCGCAACTTTTTTAGTACCTCGTTACTCATTTTAAATCGGCTCAATGGCATAGGATTTTTTCTTAAAGAAAGTTGACTCGGTGAGAAAAATTTTCAGTTATACAAAATGTGTTTTGCCGTCTCATGCCCTTCCAAGGAGTAAGGGAAAATTTGTTTGTAACGCCGAAATGTGATGAGTTAGCAATGCCACAAATTGCCTGCAGACAGACCCATCTACTCAATGAAAGCAAATATCCAGCAAGACGCTTTGAGACAGAGGCCGATATGAGTTTCGTCCATCTGCTATTATGTCTCTCAGTGATTTCTGGGTGGGAATGCTATCACTTGCTACGGATAAGACACATGTATAGTTACCGAGTACTCCCAACCGACTTGGCACTCAGCATAAAACAACTTCAGATTTGCCTTCCTAAACTTAGTTGGAAAGTATTTAGTTAGAGGGCTGGTTAATGCCTTGAGTACAGCTTGGCCATCAATAGAGACACGAAAACCCCTACCTCTCCAACTATGTTCTACCAAGTAGTCCACGACCTTGAAGATTGCTTCGACTATCTTCAAGAAAAATCTCAAACAACTGATAACACTGAAGGAACGCTGAAATGAACAAAAAAAAGCCGTGACACGTAAACTTAATTTTGGATCGTAGATTACAGCTCTGTATACCGCTTTTCTATATCAGGTCATCATCACGATTTCGATCATAGAGTTGTAAGTCCTGAAGATCCTTATTGGTGACAGATTATCGGTTTTGCCTAGAGCAGCTGGTTTGTTAGTTGGTTGAAGTTTCGAGTTTAAAAAGTCCAATTAGCACTTATGCGTGCCGTTTTAAAACCACTACTCGCAATTTAACCTGAATAGAAGTTGGTTATTTATCTCAAACCCAGCATGTGGAGTTCAGGAACTTAAGAAGTTGCAGTGGGTTAATATCACTTTTGTCTGTTAAACTGTAGAAACAGGTTTTGCCTAGAAATCTGATTCTAGCCCTACATAGTGCTGGGCAATCGCAGAGCAGATTGTACAATTACGACAACAAGTGTTGTGTTCCAGTCCTAGTCTTGTAACCTCCTCTGCCTCTGAGATATCCAGAGCCGACCCATTCCTGGCCAGCTCGTCAGCCATCTCGTTGCCATAAATTCTACTGTACCCCAGCACCCAGATCAGTGCAACGACATGCCTATCAGCTAAAGCTATAACGTTCTCCCTGCACTTGTTTTATTATGCTGGAGGTGATGCTTCGAGGATAAAATTATTTTGAACGCTTCATTTATGGAAAAGACCTCTGCCTGAAAAACACTGGCCGAATTTGGTCGTCGAATAGACTCTTCGATTTGGAGGTCGGTTGAAAATATTCCCGCTGTTGCGCCGCAATCAATTTTTGTGCGTTCAAAAGAAAGAGGATCCTTCGATTGCTTTCTTGATGGAAAAATATTGCCGAAGTTTTTCTTGAAAAGAAGCGAAAGATGAATGTAGCCAGTTTTTTTCGCGAATGCTTGGCTCGTTGAAAGAATACAGGATACGTCCATGCCCCTACGTACATTATTTCCACAATCTAAGGTTCCTCAACCTCAGGGTACTCTGTGAAGCACTTTACTTGATAAAAAGGTCAATCGGTAGCAGATGGTAGATGACATTCAATGCTTCCGTTGGACATGATCTCATCAGGCTGACAATTGTATCCTGCCTAGCGCTCTACGCACGTAGTTCATCTCTACGGCTTTCCACTAAATCAGCGAACCGTATGCAACAATTGAGCGAATCACCGCCTAGTATATTCATAGCATAAGATCAGGCCGTAGGCCTTACCCCTTACCCAGCATTTTCTTGCAAGAACACAGAGCCCCCTATGGGTTTTTCTACTCGGTGCTCTGTGTTCATTTTCCAGTTTAATTTCGGTGTGAGAATGACTCCCAAATACTTAGCATAAGTGGAAGAAAAAGAGTATGCCAATTTAAAAAAGGTAGGTTAAAATTAGGAGCTTTTTCCTTGTAGTGAATAATAGTAATTCGGTATTCGTGGGCCCGCAGCTATTTGCCCAAGAACCCAATTCCCCTAGGGCTCTTTGAAGCATTTCGCTGATCACATTTATGCACAATCCGGATACCATAATCACTACATCATCTGCATACGCGACAACTTTTACCCCCTGCCTGTTGAGAAGCCTAAGCAGCGGCGACAGTGCCCCGCTTTGAGGAGTCCACGTTTTGGATGACTGATGAATACGCTGGTGCCTAGCTCAGCTGTTACAATCCTTGTACGAAGCATGGTAGAGATCCAGTTTACCAGGAAGTTCTCAATCCCGAGTGCGGATATGCTAGGCTATATCATAGCCATCGATACATCTTTAGACAGTCTACTACAAGAAAAGATTTGAGTGTTAAGCTCGTTTGTAATCAGATCCACTTAAATTTTTCGTTCATTATCTGCCCTGGCGAATTTTGTATCGGAAACTTAACGTTCAGGTGATGTTTGCGCTATTCAACCCTTTCGGGGCCGCAAGCCTATATTTATACTAAATATACTCGATGAAATAAGAACCTTCTCCTATTTTGAAGTTGGTAAAAATCCTGATTTTTCTTGAAGAAAGGATAAGAAAAAAATATATTTTTCAACACAATTTGCTGACTTTGCCTTGTCCAGACTAAAATGTTACTCCCAGTTTTGAGAACGCATCTTCCAGTTACCACGAAAAGAGCGTAGTGCGAAGACCACTAAGAAAACCAAGTCATAAACCAGTTTTTCCTCATACATATACATAAGTAAATTTTGAAAGTTTAATAAAATGTTCATTACAATTGAAGTTTGTGTGCATGGTCATAGTTTGTCACTTATTTTTGTTAGTTGTTGACACCTTTGATCCGTTTTATTTGAGTAACTTGAATTATTTTCATCATTGAAATTTATTCCCCATCTTCTTCGCAATTCTATTTATAGCCGCAAAATTTAGAATCACAAAAATACAAACACTCCTCCAAAGAGCCTTTGTGCGTCAGCAATTTCCATAATTTCTTTTTCTCTAATTGCTTTTACCCTTTCGCCATTTGTTTTTTGCAGTATGCCTTTTCACGACGCGTCGCGCTATGACGTGCATTATAGAATTTAGTTACACTTTAAAGTGATTATGCCTAAAAATATGCATCACACATTTAGTAAGTGGGCAAGTACGCGTGACAAACATATGCATACATACATACATACTAGAGGGCTGCATGAACTCATTCAAACTTCTAGCCAAACAGAGTACAGCAGATTTGAATATTTTACTTATTTTACTCATAGTTTGGAATTTTGTACGTTATGAATATACATTTTGTTTTAAATTTTCTACCTTCAAATTGAAGAATGTGAATGAATAATGGAAAACATTCAAATCATTCAAACTGATTTCGGTAAAACAAACAAGTTTGTTCGTATTGTAAGGAGCGCAGCGATACATAAATTCATATACATATGTATGTATATGTTTGTATACACAAAGTATAGGCAAAGTAAATTTTTCACAATATATGCAACAATTTTTACTCTAATATTTTTCCGCCAATTTCGTATAAAATAACGATTCCTAAACTTTGTGCAAAACTCGCGAAAATTCAGCAAATTTTCATGAAAATATTTTAAGTATGCAGATTTTTAGCCCAATCAATTTTATTACAATAAAGTGCAATTTTTAAGTAGCTAGGAATTACCATTGATTTTTGTCAATATTTTTTTACGCAGTCTCTTCCATATTTTTTTTTTTTTCGAAAATACTTTATATGGAAAAAATGCAAAACACCTTAAACAAAAAAATTCTCAAAAATCAACTCGATTTTTGACTAACTCCGAACTTGCATTGTTTTTACTAGATTCTAATGGGCTGTATTAAAAAAAATCTAAAAAATCTGATTAAAACGTTGAAAATTCTGATGAAAATTTGCTGAATTTTCGGCAGTTTTGCACAAAGTTTAGGAATTCGATTTTTATGTTTTTTGTTTTTGAATGAACCATATTTTTATACAAAATTGGCGAAAAATTATTAGAATTAAAATTAGTGCATATATTGTGAAAAATTTGCTGTGCCAATACTTTGTTCCAGCAGTGTATGTATATCAGAACATGTATTCACTCAAATTAAAAAACAAATTTCAAGCCAAAATCATTCATTCGTTTTGTATATGAATAATTCAGAAGCCGTTTTGAATGAATTCATGCAGCCCTCTAATAAATACGCGCATACATGTAATATTAAAATGAGAAAAGAGACGCTGAGCGCACTGCAAAGTAACAAACGAGACTACTAACTATGTACGAGAATGAATCCAGCAACAATAAAGCAAAGGCGCTGCAATTAAAAAAAGAAAAAAAAGCATGAAAAAAAAACGACAAACAGCAGCCTCGGCAGCGAAATTCATTACATCAAATGACAAGCAACAAGAGGACACTCACAGAGGAACTAAAAAACCAAAAAAATAGCTTCAAACATTAACTGAAATAACTGCAAATGGCAGCACTGCCGACGGCAATGCCACGTAAAAGCCATGCTGTGCTGCATTGCCCCTAAAGCAACGCCAAACAACGTCGTCGTCGTCGTCGTCAAGCGCCGGATATGTGTTGCTTTGAGCGGCGCTTGCAAATTTGACCCATTTTGAAATTGGAATATTTTCATAGTCGCTTTTGCTTAACACATTTTTTCGCTTATTTTTTAGTTTTTGTTCTTTTTTTTTGTGGGGTCGCACATTATGCACTTTTGCTCCTCGAATTGCACTTGAAGGACGAAACGATTTTCAATATTATTCAAGTCATCATGGTGAGTGTGTCACATACATACATATGTACATACATGTAGGCGCATATGAGTGTATATGATAGATACGTACACGTGTGCAGTAGTGTTGCAACTGTTTGTATGTTTATATGTTTGCATGTGCGTTGTTAGTTATGCATATGACATGCATAAAGTATAGTTCTGCATAATGAATAGTTAATGTGTGGCATCCCCTCGACACACACACACACACACACACACACACACACATACGCGCATACACAAAAATGCACCAACTCACACACCAGCAAAGTAATTTTCGCAGCATGCGCTCGCATGTGCACATTATTGCTGGCTTCTGCTGATTGTACCCGCTGCCCGCGCATATAATTAAGCACCTCGACTTAATGCTGCTCAACACAAACGTTGCGGCTGTGACTTTTTTGCGTTGATTTGGTAACATGTATCTACCGATTTTTTTTTTTTTAAACGAAATTCAATAGCGCTACTGAATTATTAATGCCAAGCTATAATTCATAAATCGCCATTTTTGGCAAGCTGGCTCCATTAAATTAGATGTTTTTTTTTTGTGATTTCATAATGCTTTACTCCACTTTCAATCACCTCATTAACAGACCCGTACGCTTCATTTTTCCGTTCGTTGCTTTTCTCGTTGTTGTTGTTGTTTAATTTTTTTTTGTACTTCTTGACAATCTTTAACGACCGACCATTCGACACCATTAACGCCACTACCACTAACCACTCCGATCCGATTACGAATTTCAGCTTCACAGTTGCAGACGAAAATTAATTTCACTTTTCGCAAACGCTTTCATCGCGTCGCTCCCGCATTTGTCCCCAAAATCCCAATTCACTTTCACGGTCCGTCTGCTACTGCGACTGCTTCTTCTTCTTCGTTTTCCTATTCTTGTCGCATCCACTGCTCTTGCATGTGCACGTGTGCGTGCGTATGTGTTGGTTGCTTATATCAGTTCACAGTCAACGCGCGTTAATCCGTTCAAACACACGAGCTCTCGTACACAGCCAACAAACGAATGCCGATGAACTCAGAAGAGCGTTTGCCATAAGGCTCTGGGCTGTTTGCCTCGAATCCTCGTAAATCTGATTAAAGCATTTGATGAGTACGGCAGCAAGAAATGCAGAGTTGTAAAATGCAGCTAGAACAGCTAGAAGAATACTTGGTGGTTGGCGAGGAGTGTGGTGCTGCTGAGAGATGGCGCGGATGCTGTGCCCACTGAGAGGATGTTCATTTGTTGGATGCTGCGCACTGATGCTGTTGAGTGTGGTGGAAATTGAGGTTAATTTCCGGCAAGGGCGCCATCTGGTTGTGAGACTAATTCTGAATATGTGAGAAACTGGTTATGAGTTGAAAACTGTATATTAGCCCTTTTGAGAAAATGGGTTTATCATCATAATTATTACAATAACTTCCTGATTGTTAATTTAGTAATTTTCGATAGTCAAAATTAAGTTTAAAGACCATATCTTAAATAAGCAAAGAAGCCTAAGTAAAGGACAACCGAAGTTTGTACATATATTCGGTGCATATACAGGGTGGCCTAGACACCCGTCCGCCCTTCCGAAAATGGAGGAAATGTTTTTTATTGAAAAAGGCAAGAATATGAACTACCAAGATAAAGTCGTATTACCGACTTTCGGTTTCAGCCAGAAGTATACTCGACTGTACCGAATCGATTCCAAACCAAAAACACCTTTGAGAAGAATTTTTCTGTCGATGGTGAAAGTTTGCATTTTTTCCAAATTGGTTGTAAATTACTTTTTTTTGATCAGAATCGAAATAAATTCAGTCATAAAAAATCTAGTCATCGAAGTTTATCAGGTTAACCAAATTCATCGAATCATCGCCGTTTAGAGTTATTGAAATTTATCGAAATATCCCTGTTCGTTGAATTATAGCAACGCATCCAATTATTCAAATTGATCAACGATTGTCGAAATTTATAGACACAGAAAATTAGTTGTCGAAATTTACGAATAGTTATCGAGTTATAAAAACTCATGGGATTATTGAAATTTCCAAATTTAATGAATTTTATCAAGTTATCGATATTATTGAACTATCGTCATTTATAGAGTTATCGAAATTTGTTGAGTTATAGCAATGGATCGATTTCTTTCAACTTATCGAATTATCGATATTTATTGATTTACTGAAATTTGTCAATCTATCGAATCGAAGTTTTCGGATTTTTCAAAATATTTCGAGTTATCGGAATTTTAACGTTATATAAGACCATCGAGTTATCACAGCTTATTTTAATTTACCAGAGTGTAAAGAGTGAACTAAATTCGTCGATAGCTTTTGAAAAATATGGAGCTATCAGAATTAACCGAGTTATGGAAATTACTTGGATACCTCTACCGAAGTTTATAGAGTTATCAATTTATATTAGGATGTACACATTTTGGGCACATTTTTTGAAATTTTTCGAAAATGATCGAAATTAGTCGAGTTATCGAATGTTATTGAGCTATCGGATTTTAGTGTTTTTGAAATTCATTTTGTTATCGGTGTGTGTAAAATTATCGAAATATATCGACAAAATGAAATATATCGGGTAATACCAAATCCTGCGAAAGAACTCCAAAGACCTTCAAAGATATAAACAATTGTAGTCACGTAGGGGAAAAAACGGTCGAATTTCGACTTCTTAGGACCGATTAGCCAAAAAATGCATGAATGGTATTCATATTTCCAGGGTATATTAAGATCGCTGATTCCGTATGAATCATCTACTTGTTTAGCCATAATTAATTTGCACCAAAAAAACTTGGGACTCAATGTTTATCATACGCCCCGGCAAACATTTGGCTTGCAACTTTATAAACGATACTCATACGACCCGGCCCTTTTATCATCATGCTTTCAAAGCCGTATCAGTCAGCTCAATTGGATCAGAACATTGAAATTTTGTTAAAAAGTTATCCAGACTTTTAATAAATAGTTGCCGTGTGCTTCTTCAAAAAGTTTTAATAGCTCAAGAAAAAATTCCATGATTTTCCATTAGTCTGGCAAAAATTGGGCTCATGTCATTGTCGAAGATTTAAATGCATCATATAGTTGCAATATTTCTGTGGGACGACTTGCGCAACATTTGCGAATTGGAATGCGAGTGCGAATATCCGCAACATCTTGGTGACGCGTGTAATTTCATCTTAGTCGAACACTAAATAAGGATTTTCCGAATATTTCGACACCAGCGCCAACTAGCGGATCCAATTTTTGTAAACGTTTTTCTAATCGCACCTGCAGTGTACGCTTTTAATTACATCAAAATCGGACGCTAAATACAGATTTTATGAATATCTCGACTCTGGCGCCACCTAGCCGATTAATTTTCCGCAAAACTATTACTCCTGCCAGTACACTTCCCTAATTTGATCAAAATGCGATCATGCTCAACCTAGGCGATTATGTTGTAGCCTCTGCCCGTGCCATGGGTCTAGGGATTACACTTTTCCAATTTGGTTAAAATCCGTTTGTTGGCTTTTGAGCCTAGTTTTAATACATATATATGTATATGACTCGTAGTTTGTTGGTTGCAAGACCAGACCTTAACAGCAAATCAAATTATGAAAAATACCCTCCTCCTCCATACCTAATTCAAAGTCCTTCGGATAGCCAATAGCTAAACTAATAACTTGTTTTTTAACTACGAAATAAGGGTTTGAGCAAGCGAATCTACCATCAATTTACTCTTGTAATCTGATAACCTTCTGTAAATGTTAACCTCCATCTGCTCCACCTTGGCGTATGCACATAAAATTCCCGTTGGTCGTTAGCATGGCTCTCAAACTCACAAAATATGAATGATATCGCTGAAACCTAATAAAAAATTAGGTACTTATTTATTATGGAAAATAATTCCTTTTTGGAAGCACTTAGTTTATAATTATAGCCAATAACGAGCTTTAATGTATCCGGCTTTTGTGGAATAGCGACACGGTTACGAATATTTGCATCCTGGTTTGGTCCTTAATAGCGCGTGCATAAACAATTCCAAACTGAGGCGAAAGGGTGACAAAACATTACAAAATAATATTTGCAGAAATTCAAAATTAAAGGGAACGAGTGTGCCAATCGATGGTATGGGAACAGATGTTTGTTTATTCTCTATTCACGTACATACATAAATACATATTTTTTTCTATATTTATGTATTTACATGTATCAAGGTAAATATCTGCTAATCAGCAAACACTTTAAAGTAAACGCATTACTTTGTTGATGAAATTTGGGGGGCTGTGCGAACGCCGCACACTTTGGGGTTGTTTATTCTAAAATTACGAGTGCATATATACTGTTTTGTAAATAACAATTCAGCATAATAATCAAGCATATTTTTATTTTCCATTTAACAATCAAAAATGTAGCTATTTACGCATGCAGCGGAGCAGTTGTGAAACGATTTACATAAATTACAAAAGTAAATATTTAAATAGAGATTTTGATAAGCGATTACACATGCACTTGTTTGCTCTTAATCACATATGTGCAGTTGAGATTTTTGACTTCCATGTATTTATCAAAAATCAAATAATGTTTGCAAGTGAGACCGAAAATCTTAAGTAATCATATCGAGTAGGTTATGCTTTAGGGAGAAACGGATAAGGCAAAAAGTTGCTTTTATGTTGAAAATTTTATTTTTCACTCCAACCGAGTTTTTAAAAGGATATATGTCGATTGTGGCAGCCTGTTAAAAAAAAAGAAATAACTATTCCTTAATGAAAATGTTGTGTCAGTGTCGGAAGCAGCGGTGGCCTATCAAATTGTACTTTTCAAATTCGAGACGACCGGTTCGGTAAACTGACAGGTATAAGCAGCCATACAAGCATCAATAAACAGGTATTCATGCAGATTCTGCAATTCATTTCCGAGTGAATTTTAACCTTATTCAATTTGCATTGAAACCAGTGATGGAAAAGTATGTACAATTGTACTTTTTCAGCCCTTTTATAATTTGAAAGTACATTCGGTACATAAAGTATTCCTAGAATTTTTATCCTCCTTGTATTTATTTCAAGAGTCACGAACTTTGCGCAGAGTTGTTCTCTCGAACATATCCCCTCTTATTCAGGCAGCTATTTCATGTGAGCAGACAGGAATGATCAGCGATTTGTTAAGGTGAATTTCTGTTTGTTTTGAAGGCCCTGAATTATGCTTCGTTCGACCTCTGACTGACAGTATGCTGGCTCCTAAATTAAAAAAGGTCCTTTGTGGCTTCGAAATACTGCCGTCTACAGTGTCCTGCTGATTTGGTTTGTTGCTAGGAGGTAATTTGACTTTTTCTCATTCTCCGCTAAATCAATCTCTTTTTCTTCTTTCTTAAGGTTGAGTAAAGGCTAGAAAGGTTCAAATGTAATGTATCCTAATAAATATATGTATTATATCTCTGGAAGTATAGCAAACCTGTAGAAGTATTTTAAATTTGTTATGGAGATTTATATTATCAGTACCGTACTGACAGACAAAATTTCAGTTAATGTAAAAGGGAGAGCCGGCATCTGCCGTATAGTCTAAAAATCGCATGATGCATACCTACGGTGACCATCCGTCCTTTATTTTAAAGGACAATACTTTATTTTAATCGCCAGTCATTTATAATTTTTTTTTTCAAAATAAATTACGCTTTTTTCCCTTTATTTCTTAAACTGTCCTTTAAATCGGCTCTGCATTTTTCAGAGGTAAATTTTTAAACACAGAATATGAAAAATAAAAATATCCCTTATAAAATATATTGGAAACCTTCGCCATTTTGTTTCGCAACCCACTTAAGGGTTTCTGTTTAATCGGTAATCTTTGTGCAATCTATAAAGCACAGGGAATCGTGTTGCACGCTGAGTTTCCAGTTCCACTGCTGCACAGTGGTTCAAAACTGGCATTTCGTGTTCTTGATTTACTGGAGCCTTCATTTTTCA